ATCAACCAAGACTAGTTCTGGATGGACAGCTAATCTGATTTGGGGATACACTGTTCCAGAGGACACAGATAAGAGCTGTTGCATCAAAACTGAACTTGAGGAGTCATTTCTAATGGAATTCCTGTTCGTGTTCATTTCCTTCTGTCTGTAGCAGATGGGAGTTTTCCATTTTAGATAGGGGGCTTTTTTTAACCCCAATTGTAATAAAGGGTGTTCTTTTTCCTCTTTAGAGTTTACAACACTATAAATATTTGTGTCTCTATATACCATCTTCATCTTCACACACCCACTGCCCTTTCCTTCCCCATGTGGGAGCAGCCATCACCAACAGGGTTTACTCTCCCCTGGAGAGGTTATTCAAATATGCTGTCCACAAGCCATCTGAAATATACACCCTTTCTTCCATACAGAAAAGGGCTAACCATACCATAGCCAGAGTCTCTGAACATTTCCTATTGTAATTTTTTTTTCTGTTTCTAAGTCATCATTTTTGTTTGGGATAAAGATTTTATCCAGTGTACTAGCAAATCTCTGGGCAGGGTAATTTTTTCTCAGTCTTTAACTTTTAAATTGCTCCTTCCTCTAATCTCAGTAAAATTTGGAAAAGAAATCCTCGTCTGAAGCATTGCTCTCTTGAGAGTCATGATTACTCTTAATGAAAAAATAAAATACTAGACGTGCAAGGTCAGCACATTCCAGTTGTTATTCCCATGCTCTTTGCAGATTTGGCAATAATAACCCAGTTTCACTAGTTGTCATCCTTGGCTTTACTGTTGGACAGAAGCCTTCATGGAAGCTAATTTACGTCCTTTTTCCCAGAGGTGTGAAATGTCATCTTGAATGCAACCTTGATTTCCAGAAGTATGGAATGTTACAAGTTAAGCAGACATTATATATACAAGTATATATACATACATATATCCACACAGATGTACATACGACTGCACAAATAGGAAAAGTTCCTGCCTTCTCTGCTGTCAGATATAATGTTAAAAGGGATTTGAATCTCTTTAAGCAAGATCTAAGCAATTGTTCATATTGAGAAACAACATTTCTCCAATAAGTTAATGATGTTTATTTTAAATTATAAACTTAAAGGAATTTTTTTAAAAAGGAAAAGGGGAGAGGAGGGTTAAAAAAAAAAAAAAGACCTGAGAAAGCCATATGCATGGAGCTAGTGTTTCCACATGACAGAATATTTATAAGAGGACAAGGAACTTTTATTATGTCCCCTTTTGGGTGAAGCCCCGACAGAGAACCGAGCGTCCCTTGTCCCCACACCCCAGGTTGGCATCCCAACCTCTTCAGCGCCAGGAGGATCTTTGTGTTGGACCTTGCGTCTCAGCAGCCTCACCGTGGTCCCCACCCCACAACCTGTAAAAACATTTCCCTTTGTAACACCCCCGCCTCTGCCAGCCAGAGATCTAAAACAGGGGCTGCCCTGGTGACTGTCTGATCTGCAGGCTCCATGCCCACGTGTTTTGGCACTTGGGGAGCTTCTTGACCCTGGATCATTATTTTACAGATTCTTATCTCTTCCCTCCAAGCTGAGGGTACACGGTGGCCAAAATCACTTATTTTAGTAGGAAAAAAACATTACCAATTCTGAAGGAGTGCCCTTTGTTGCAGAAGAGGGTATGTAAACATAGATCTGTTCTTGTTTGCAGCTGTTCTCAGCTCTAGCCACGTTTAATTCATTCTTTGTAAAAGCCTTTAGAAAACCTGGTAAAAGAATGGTCAGTTTCAGTGGCCTTAAGTATGTAACATGGGTGACGTCTTGCGTCGAAGTTTGGAAGCTCTCAGGTGGTGGCTATGGATGACAGAGGGCTGAGAGACTATATGGGAGGGTTGGGGAGACACCAAAAATCAAATATGTTTATGATGGACACAGGTATATCTTGCCGGCATCATGGGAGCACCTTAGAGGGCTGCCTCTGTTGGAAGATTAAATGCCCAAAACGTTTGGATAGATTGTGCAGCCCTCTATTACCAGGTTGTCTTGAATAAAGAGAGTAAATAAAGTTAGAAGTAAGCTACAAGTTCAGTGTAGTTGCCAGATGTTAAATTTTAGATTATCCTTTGAGCTTATTCCTATCCAAATACTCTTCTGAGTATTTCTTTAAAGAATGCTGCAATCTGTAGAGATCTTATCCTGAAACATACTTTTTTTTAAGTATGGAAGAAGGCAGCAACAGATGATAATTTTTATGGCAGTATTGCTTAATTGGCTTTTCTTCAGCCCTAATAAGTACCTAGCCCTGTTTTGCTGGGAGGAGGTGCATAGTTGACAAAAAGGGAGTGAGAGAAGACAGCCACGTCCTGCACTCCTGACACCCAGCACATCACAGCACAGACCAGGGCTGAATGGAATTTGGAATTCAGGTGAAGGGCTTGCAAAGTGCTTGTCTGGCTGACAACCAGACGTGGCCGTGAACAAGAACAATGCTGGTAGGATTTAGGAAAAGAGCTTGCTATTTTCCCTCTTATTATCGCTGGAGCAATAAGCTTCCTGAGCCGAAGCTGCGAAAAGGAGTGACATTTCCATCAGGTCATCATAGTCCCTGAGTCTCTGCAGTACAAGCTGTGACGGAGGGGAGATTCGAACTGGGTGACAGTGACAAACCCTTGAGCACTTGCTGTGTTCCAGGCACTATCCCCGAGGTCCTGCTGAAGTCAGGGCAGTCTGTTGGTCAGGGAAATGTGGCAGAGTGAGATGACAGTGCTGCGGGAACATTGGGCCTTTTTCACTTGGTATTGAGTTGGTCAGAATTAGCTTTCTCTGGTCTGCTTCTGCCTTTCCTGTGGTGGTGTTGGACAGTGAAGGAAAGAGTAGAATTTTGTGTCTACAACTGCTATATGCCCTTGAGAATTAACTTGAGTAAAGTTTTTCAGGTCTTTGTTTATGGATCTGTAGTTCTGCCGACCCTCCGAGGCGCACTGGGTTGAGAGCCATTCCTTTTTGGAAGCCCCAGAGCGAGACCATTTCCATCAAGTGAGTTTGATTACAATTAGTTCCACCTTCCACCTGGATTTAGTTTTAGTTGTTTCCAGTTTGGAGTTCCTGAGAAGGCTGGTTGTAGGACTGAACTTGGGGAAGGAAGCCTCTTTGGGATTACCTAAGGCCCGTGTGACGCTGATGGAGTGGACACCAGACTAGACTTGTTCCTGGGCCCAGCTCAGCCCAGGCCGCACCCTCCCTGCGTTGTCGGCGCCACCGCTAGGGGGCACCCTCTCCCACAGACAGTGGGAGACCAAAGGGGCTTCCTTCTCTGCACCCTTTTCCCTTTCTCAAGTCTAGTAGTGAAATCTCCTGCTCACTTCCACAGTAAATAGCTTCTTTCCTACCCCCTACCAGAGGGCCAAGAATTTCGGGCCAAGAGCTTCAAGACTCTTTTTTCATCAATATGTCAATCAAAATGACCTCTTTTACTAGTTTTTTCAAAAGCAAGATATGTTAGTGTGTTGAATTTTAAGTAGAATCTCTTTTGGTATTTGAGTGATTGTTATTAGTTCTAGACGCATTCTCCTGTCATGACCCAGTTGTGACTGTGCTTGAGTTTAGGAAGGACAAAAGTGATGAAATCTGCATGAGAGAATAAATATATTATGAGGAGTGAAAGAACCTGAGGAAGCTGCATGATCCAGGAGGCGGCTGACACACAGCAGCCTTCTCCACGGCCCCGAGGCTCCAGGAAACAGATCCTGTTGCACACCCTGACAAAACACACAATTCCTAGGGCTTTCTTTTTCAGAATGTGAGTCCATTTTATATAGCAGTGATTCCCAAATTTCCTTGAGTTTTTTAGATTTTTATGCTCTTTTGTTAGATGTGGCTTCTTCTTCTTTAAAATGTGCCGTATGTGTTATCCGTACATGTAAGTTAAACTTGAAATTGATTCGGTTTGACATTGTCTCCAGAACCCTCGATATCATTATTGGTACCTTGGGGAATCATAGAAAGAAAGTTGAATATCTCTGATCTGAGAGAAGGATCCAGAAGGAAGTAGCTTAGATTCCTGGTCGGTTAGCCCTCAGGTGTTTGAGTAACCAGCCCAGCAAGGCTTGGTGGTGAGCCGCCCAGGAAAAGCGAAGCGGTCATTTTTGCCCATCGTTCAGCATGCATTTTGAATTCCTGCTCCTTTCTTATCTTTCAGTGCCCTTGTCTTCCCCTAGGAAATGTTTTAGTTCAGAACTTAAACCAGATTTATCTGTTGTAGAGAGATTTCCACAGAAGCTGTGTGTTAGGGGCCTTGATTTATCTGTGTGAGGGTACAAATATTTAAGAATAAATATCATACTTGTATCATTTTTAAACTCCCAAGGGAAAAATTTCAATTCCCAATTCACCGAAAGGTTAAATACTAATTGACTCAATGACCACTATTCTGCAGAAAATTTGAAATAAATAGTGAAGGTTAAATTGTGACTGGTGCTTAGACATTTCCTAGTTACATTGAAATTAACTCAAGCAGACAGCAGCACATTAACCTGAGTCCCACCTGTGAGGAACTTACCTTCTAAATTTGATTTTGTTTTCCATCTCCAGGGCCTTAATAAGAGTGTGTTAATAATACACATGACTATTTTACAATGATAGCTCTAAATAATTTATTTTTTATTTCAAGAAAGAGAAATACACCTTAGAAAAACAAAACCCAAGATTTTATTTTATTTTTAAAGCCATATTTTTGTGCTAGTAGCACTTAGATTGTTCCATATGTGAGATCCATATCTGCATTTCATTACCTGGGTTTGTTCTAAAAGAAGATTTATTTTTGTTCTGTGAATAATTTTTGACAGTTCTTGTACATGTACAGATATAGATACGTTTGAGGTCTTTTATTGATATTCCTACAAAGAATACAAATAAACTTTAACTTTAAACATTTCAGACTAAAGTTGCTACTGTATTTGACCTATTGGCTGTCTGACTTATAGCGTGTATCTGGGTGATTAGGACACTTGGAGAAAAACCAGAAACAACATGTTATGCAGGAACATTATTCGGAAGGTATACTTTAATATTAAAAACTGTCTTATAGTTTCCCAAATTGCAGGTGAAAACTACTGAGACGTAGGGCAAAGAGCTAGCACGAACGTACTATCCTGTGTGAGGGCACCCCAGATCAGCAGACGCATGCTATTTTTTGTTCACTTCAGAGCCGACCCATTTCAATCTGAATTGCTCGTGACCCAGCGTAAGCTTCAAGGCTTCTTGGATCTGAAACATCAAAAAAGAAAGAAAAAATGTTGACGCTAGTTTGTGACCTCCTAATCATCTTAGCCCTAAACTGTCCGCCTGTACACTCTTCATGTCCCGCCGCACCCTTTATTTCTCTAGGCTCCCTCCAGCTGCCTGCCTTCTGTCATTAGCACCCTCACCAATAGGAAAGTACGGAGATCAGCTTGTTAGGCCGCCCTGGTCCCATCACACATCCAGCCCAAGAAGAAAAAAAGAATTGTTTAATGACCAAGGAGGTGAAAACAAATGACTTAATCAGGGTCATCGTTCCTGACTGTTCATCAAAATCATTTGGCATCTCGAAAACATAAGAGTAGGGCTGTCCCTTTCGGTCCACCACTGAACAGTTAAATAGAACCTCTCTAAGGGGTGGGCCCGGGCTACCACTTTCTCAGGGGATTCTAACTTCAGCCACTCATCCGTATCTCATTCTGAGCACTGTGTCTGTTGTAATGTTTCCTCTGTCCCCATCCACGAAACTGGATAAGTTGACTATAATAGGTGGGTTGTTTGTTTGTTTTTGCCTTCTATTTGGAATTTTAAGTGCTCCTGAAGCTAATAATATATACTCTACCTTCCCACACACACACCTTGTCCCGGCCAGTTCCATTCTTTAAATCCGTGAGGTACAAATTCTCTCCATTAATATATGGTAGACATAGCCCAACAAAGGTGACCAGAAGACGGAATTCCCCATCTTGCCCCCAACTTTCCCAGTATTGGCTTTAATTTAAAACAAAGGGTAAATGGTTTCTGGTTTGGTACCCACTCCTCTGCCAAAAAAAAAAGTTCTTGACTTTTGTAGACTTAATACTGTAATACTCAGCACTGCAGTCTTATTACTGGAATGCTTACTAAAAAATTTATCAGATACCAAATTGCATCATTTTCCCCTGTTCTTCCTTCAATAGCAAAATGCACCAAAAGCTCTCCAGTCCCCTCCTCACTACCTGGCAGGCACCCGTGTGCATTGGTGTGTGCACCCCCACACCACCTTTCTTCCTAGGAACTTCAGTTTGTGAGATTTTTAGAATGAATTGCCTGGGTGCTATTTCTTTGGCCTATAAGGAAGTTGCAGTAAGCTACCAGATCAGTGCCAACCTGTTTCCTTGTCTGTAAAGTCATGATTTTGGCTAGATGGCCCATGGAGAACTCTCTGGCTCTGACATCGTGTAATTATCTGATATCAATGAAAAATGTGTCTTTAGGACATATTTGAAAATCAGCTTCAGGTGATTTTCAATATTTAGGAACATTGCTTCCTCTTCACAATCTCCTATCTCATAATACTTTAAAAGAACAGAAAAGGGGGAGAGCCTGGAACAAATATATATTCAGAACAATAATTTGATAATAATAATAGCTAATATTCATTGAGGAGTTACTATGTGCCAGATAATTTGCTAAGCACTTTTTACGGAATATTTCATTTAATCATAATACCAACCATATTGTTCCTGATTCATGAGGAAACTGAGGCTCAGAAAGATTAAGTGACTTGCTCAAGGTCACATAGCTAATAAGTACAAAGTCAAGACCCAAATTTAGGTCCTTCTGACTATGCTGTATTGATTTTTTTTTTTTTAAGAGCTCAGGAAAAATGTTGGAGAGAGTCAGAAAAGATCTGAAAAGATCTGAGCACATGAACCAGCCTGTCACCATGGGCCAGAATGATGGCAGTGGGAACAGATGAGCTAATTTTCCAAAGCTTTTTATCCTCATAAATTGGCTTTTGACAGTAATGCTCTGCATTACCAAGTCATTTGACTGATCAAAATTAGAAGTGGGCAGAAGTCTCACCTCACTCAAAAATTGATCTTTCATGTCTTCTGGGTCCATCAGAACTGGGATGATAAAATCTGCTTTCAGGATGCCAAAGAGTTGCGCTGAAAAACAAAGTGCTACCTGATTCAGGGGAAATTACCCCACTGTCACTGGAAAACTTCAATCTCTTAGCAGTCAGGAGAGCCCATTGGACACCACAGTGTGATCATCACATGGTGATTTAGGATTTCAAAAAGAAGAAAGAAACTGCTGGCCAGAAAAATGCTCAACCCAACCAGCTAATGGCAGACAGGAGAGTCCCATGCATGGAGTACCGGCTGGCTCTCCTCCCGCTTCTGGGCCACCCTCAGGCAGTTCTGTTTCTTCTGTATTTTCCGCCTTCCTTTTAATAAGTCTATTGAGTAGAGGTTCCACACCATGCTAGAAATAGTCACCTCTCCCTGGGCCCACATTTGTAAAGGCCAGCTCTATCCCAGAAAACCCTTAAGTTCTCTAAGCCTGTGAACAAGCTCAGCCTTTGGCCATGAGCACTGGAATCAGGGGAACTTTGTATAGCATTTTATAGTTTATAAAGTACCTTTGCAGAATTATCTCCTGGGGTACTTGAGACAACCCTGTGATGTAGGCAGAGTAATTTTCACTATATTCTGTTTGCAGATGAGATCGGAGATTCTGAAGTGAGAAAATCTCCCTGAGCTTTCCCAGGAGTCGGAGAGCTACCTCTAGAGTCCGCATCCTTGTTCCCTTCCCAACATTCCACACTGACTTTCATAAAAAGGGCTTGAGTGCCCTGTGCTGAGGACTGGCTGTCCAGACTTAACTGCTTGGCTGTGCAGAGTGGGAACTTGGTAACCAGAAGCAGTTACCTGGTTGTGGCGCTGGCGTTTTTTCTTTAGAATCTGGGTGATCAGATGAGCTCCAGTGCTGGGCCTGAGTGGCAGTAGCTGTCTCTCTCCCATCGGTGTCACTGCTTTCACTGGTCACAGCTACAGGAGGGGGAAATAAAGGAGTTACTGCAAATACAGCCAGGAGCACGGCAGTCTGAGATTGCGGACTGCCTCTGAGCCAGCAGACAGGCCTGGGCAGCCACCGACCTGCAGGAGCTTCCAGTGTGGGAAGCTCAGTCCCGGCCAGAGGCGCATACACCCAGCTGTACCATCGTCTCTCACAAAGTCCCGGCTATCAGGAATATTAACATCTCCTCAGTACTGAATGTTTTCCTACCCCAAGAGGCCCAGTGCCCTTAGGTTGTCTGCCAGCTACACAAAACCCCCACCATGGCACCCAGGGACCCCCACACACACACCTCCATCAAGGGATAGGACCTCAAAGTACACATTCCATAACCAAGCTCAGCCTCCCCCTGCAACCTCCTCACCCTCCATGTGGTCGCCCATCTCCTGGGGCTCTCCAGCCAGACCCCACACAGCCCCAGCTGCTCCCCTACTCCCTCTCCCTTGCTCTCATGTTCAGTCACCAAAGTCCTGTCAGTGCCTTGCAGATGTCTTTTTTTTTTTTCAAATAAGGAAATAACCATATTTTTTCGTGGTATATTATTGTAAAATATTTAAGCCAAAAGTACACCCATCCCTGACCCAGCCAGGGACAAGCACTATTAAGAGTTTGCTAGAGAATATCCTTCACATACTTGAATTTTTTAATTTGAATGCATAAAGATCTACCCTATTCTCTTTAAAGGCTGTATTTCATTGAATGTACCGTAACTTATTTAATCAATCTGCTTTCAATGGACATTAGATTGCCTCCAGTCTTTCACTGTAATAAACAATGCTGCAATAAACAACTTGTGCGTGGAGGATACGTATATATGTGTGTGTGCACCTTATACTATTATTTCCTTAATAAATTTCCAAGGGCAGAACTTCAGTGCGAAAGAGTATGCACATTTCAGAACTGACACGCATTGCCAGGATGGTAGCACCAGTTGACCGTGCTATTCAGTGTCTGAGAGCACTGATTTTTCTCATTCTTACCGGCATTATCACCCCAAATCTTTGTCAAACTGGTAAGTAAAAAAATAAAAATTTTAAATGCATCTTGCTTTTATTTGCATTTGTATGATTCAATGAACAGAGCTGAGCATTTTTAAAAATGTGTTTATATATATTTCTTCAGTTAATGTCACTTGCAAATGATGTAAAATCTGTTCTCTCAAGTCCTTCCTCTCTCCAGTGCTCCAGATCTGGCTTTGGTTCCTCATCCAGACTATGCAAGTCTCTTTGCCACACATGCACTTCCTGTGTCTCCTCTCCGAGTGTCCCCTTCTTTCCCACCCAAAGCATTGTAAATTTCTTTAGTCAAATGAATAAATTTGTACAGTCCAGAAATACAGAAAGGCAGCAAAGAAACACTGATACTCTAGTTACTGAAATATAACCATTAACATTGTCACAAGTTTCCTTCCCATCTTTTTGGCTAAGCATAGGTTGACGCTTCCTTTCAGTGTTGTTGTGACTGTCACATGTGTAACATTGAATCATCATTTTCCTTTAGCATCCTGACACAGGCATTGTCCCATGACATTATAACCACCTTGCTTCCATTAATGACAGATCTGAGCATTTCACTTACTAGAAGCCTCTGAGAGCTGCACCGACTGCAGGATCCAGCCCTTCAGAATTTGGCCTCAGTCCACCTCTTTCCTCTCCTCCCTTGCCACTTCTTTCCCAGATAGGTGACCTACCCTCCAGTCACATCAGACAGCTTGTCTTTCCTATCCCACACATTTTCACATCTGCCTATCTCTGCCTATGCTGTCCCCTCTGCCAGGAAGAACCTTCTAGTCTTTGCTGCCTGACGAAATCCTCCGTTACCTTTCATCCAATTACCACCACCTTTCCAGGCAGAATGAAGGAGTCACTTTCCTGCCAAGGCTCTTGGTTCACACTTCTGGGGTAGCATTTATCAGACCGTCCTGATTGTACTAGTCCCTATTAGACTAAGCTCTTTTAAAAACAGGAAGTGGGTCCTGCTCATCTTTGTATCCACTGCCTTGTTCAAAACAGCTACTCAGGAAATGATTGTTGAATTAAATCATCTGCAAATGTGCAAAACACTATTTTAGGCATGGGAAAGGTACAGAGACATAAAACAGCCCCTGCCCTGTAAGACAATACAATCTCAATAATTAACCATTGTGATCATTCATGGTCATTAATGAATAAAATGAAAATGAGGCCAGCCCAGTCTATTGAATAAGGTAAGGACAAAGATGGAAGACTGAATCTCTAAACATTTCACTACTGAATTCAGATCAGAATAGTAATAACTACCACTTATGAATGCCTGCCAGGTGCCAGGCACTGAAAAATACCTCGTAACATTGGTGTTTTCTTCACTTTAAAGATGAGAAAAATGAACTTCCAAGCGCTTAGGAAAGTTGCCTAAGGCCACACAGTAAGTAGAAGAACCAACG